GAACCAAAACTGTAAGGAAGGTCTGTAAGGAAGGGCAGGCACATCAGAGATGGCTCACATATTTATGCTCTCTATTCATGTTGTCTGCCTCTTGAAATCACAGAAGAGACCACTACTGTCTGGACAGTCTGGCATTTTAATTGGGAAATTGTTGGAAAAATTATTTTTCTCTTGATTTTTTTCCTGCAGTACTAGGTTGGTTCATTAATAAATGTGAGGCCATTTAAACTGGGAAAAAAAAATGACTTGTATCCACATGTATGAAGAACTCTAAAAACTCAGTAACAAAACAGCAAAACTTTTGAATGGAAACACCACAGCAGATGGCATAGGAAGCCAGACACAAGAGTATGTATTGTATGATTTCATTTTTATAAAATTCTAGGTAAGATGAATGAAATTAATTGTGTCAGAAAGCAGATCACTAAGAACAAGAATTGCAAATACACATTCTGTTTCAGTAGTCACATTATTGATGGTAGAGCTGGCATTGTTATTCTGAGAGTGTTTTGTGTATAGTGTGAGGTAGATTAAATGAATGTTGTCATTGAGAATTTAGGGGTTTTTTTTTTTGTAAAATATATAAAATTTACCATTTTAACTATTTTTAAAAAGATTTTATTTATTTTTAGAGTGAGAGGAAGGGAGGGAGAGGGAGAGAAGCATCAGTCAGTTACCTCTCGCATGCCCCCAGTTGGGGACCTGGCCCACAGCCCCGTTATGCGCCCTGACTGGGAATTAAACCTGCGATTCTCTGGTTGCCAGGACGGTGCTCAATCCACTGAGCCACACCACCCAAGGCCATTTTATCTATTCTAAGTGTACAGTTCAGTGTCATTAAGTACATTCACATCGTTGTACAACCACCGTCACCATCTCCAGAATCTTTTCGTCATCCCCAACATAAACTCAGTACCCAGGACACTCTAACTTCCCATTCTTGCTACCCCAGCCATTTGGTAACCATTATTCTACTTTCTGTCTCTGTGAATTGGACTGTTCTACGTACCTCATATAAATAGATTCATACAATGTCTGTCCTTTTGCATCAGGCTTAATTCACTTAGAATAATGTTTTCAAAGTTCATCCATGTTGTAGCATGCATTAGAATTTCATTCCATTTTAAGGTTGAAGACTATGCCATTGTATGCCATGTTTTGTTTATCCACTCATTTGTCCATGGACATTTGAGTTGTTCTTACCTTTTGGCTATTGTGAATAATGTTGCTATAAACATTGGTGTACAAGCATCTGTTTGAATTCCTGCTTTCAGTTGTTTTGCATGTATCCAGAAGTAGAATTGCTGGATTGTATGGTAATCCTATTTACTTTTTTGCAGAACTGCAATACTGTATTCCTACAGCTACATCATTTTCTATTCTCATCAGTGATGCCCAAGGGGTCTAATTTCTCCACATCTTTGCCCAACACTTGTTATTTTGTTTGACAATAGCTACCTAAAGGGTGTGAAGTGGTATCTCATGGATATTATTTGCATTTCCTTGATAGCTATTATGTTGAACATCTTTTCATGTGTTTACTGGCTATTTTATATCATCTATGGAGAAATGCCTATTCAAGTTCATTGTCTATTTTTTGAATTAAGTTGTTTGTTGAATTTTATGAATTATTTATATATTTTGAATATTAATACTTATCAAATACATGATTTGCAAACATTTCCCACCATTCTGTGGGTTGCATTTTTTACTGTTTATAGTTTCCTTTGATGCAAAAAAGTTTTAAATTTTGATGAAGTCCAATTTATTTTTCTTTTGTTGCCTGTGACTTTGTGTCATATCCAAGAAATAATTGCCAAATCCAGTGTCATGAAGTTTTCTCCCTGTGTCTTCCTCGAAAACTTTTGTGATTTTACCTCTTCAATCCACTTTTTTTTTTTAATATGGTGTCCAGTGAGGGACTACCCTCATTCTTTTGTAATGTAAATCCAGCTTTCCTGGTACCATTTGTTGAAAAGGTGGTGTTTTCTTCATTGAATGGTCCTTGCACTCTTGCTGAAAATCAATCCACTAAGTCCGTGAGTTTATTTTTCTGGGCTCTCTATTCTATTTTATTGGTCTACATGTGTATCTTTATGCCTGTACTACATTGTTTTGTTTATTTAGTTTTTCTTTCTTTTTTTAATTCTTTTTGGGTGGGGTTCCACATAGGTTTGTTTTTTTTTAACGTTTTATTTATTTTTAAAGAGAGGGGGAGGGAGGGAGAAAGGGAGAGAAGCATCGATTTTTGAGAGAAACATGAATGGATTGCCTCTCGCACACCCCCAACCAGGAACCTGGCCTGCAACCCAGGCCTGTGCCCTGACCAGACTCAAACTGGCAGCCTTTCCTTTTGTGAGACAATAACCGGCCAGGGCACATTGTTTTGACTACTATAGCTTCGCAGTAAGGTTTGAAATCAGTAAGTGACTCCTCTAACTTTGTTCTTCTTTTTCAAAATTGTTTTGGCTACTCAGGGCCCCTCAGGATTCTATGTGAATTTAAGGACGGAGTTTTTTTCTATTTCTGTAAAAAGAGAATTGAGGTTTTTTTAAAAACATTGGCGTGATGTACAAGATAATTGAGGTTAAGTTAAAACCATGTTGCCCTAAATTTGAAAAGGAGATGTCAGCATGAATTCCTGGTGCATTTTATATAAAAAATATGTATATATTACCTAACAGTTCACTGAAAATGTCTACAATGACTAACCCAATTACAGTAAGTATTCTTAGCACTCAAGACTCGGGTCTCTAAATACAATTTTCCACTGACAGGAACCAGGACTCTTTCAAAAAGCTGTCTGATTTGAGATGTCGGACACTACAGGGATTGTGTCAAAATGACCAAAGAACCAACCTGAAAAGGCTCCCACTGGCCAAAGATGAAACAATTTGAACTTCAATAAAAATAATAATTATAACAGGTTATAGCACCCTCGCTGGAGCAGCTCAGTGGGTTGAGTACCGCCGGCCTGCGAACCAAAGTGTCACCATTGCCGGCTCAACTCTCGGGCCAGGTCCCCAGCTGTGGGAGCATGTGACAGGCAACCACACACTGATGTTTCTCTCCCTCTCTTTCTCCCTCTCCCCCCCCTAAAAATATATAAATGAAATATTTAAAAAAATAGGTTATAGCATATCAAATATGTGGAAATTCATGCATTCATTATTTTTTAAAAAATGCTTATAGATCAGTTTTGGATGATGCTAGAGAACTAAGGCAGTATTTTGACCTTTCAGTCCGCAGGCCTGTGCTCAATCCACCAACCTGTACCAGCCAGGGCTTATTTTGAAAACTGATAAAGGGAAATCCTATTCCCTAATAAATCACTTTTAGTCATATACCCAAGGAAACTCTTGTGTAGTTACACAACTACACAATTCACAGGAGACATTCACAGGAATGCTCTTAATGACACTTTATAATAGAAAAAACTAGAAATTCAAACAGCCATTCTTAAGATGAGTAACATGTGGTGTATTTACACAACAAAATAGTATACAGCTGTGAAGTCAATGAATTATGAAACCCATGACCCTTAGTAGTCTGTTGAATGAAAAAAGCAAATAACAAAGGCCAAAAACAATGTAGTCTCTTCATAGAAGTTCAAAACTAAGCAACACTCAAACAATATATTGTGTAGGCATGTATATGTGAGTACATTTTTTTTCTTTCAAAAAGAAAGTCAGGGGAATAACAGATACAGAATTCTGAATGGCGGCGCCCTGGACAAGGGATAAGGGGGACGGACAGGTGCAGAGCACACAGGTAAATGTAAACCCCGGTGGTACTCTATCCAGCCCCTTCACTTTTGCAGTGGATACCATGGAATCCAATTTATTGATTTAAATTATAAACACATTTTTTAATTTTTAAAAAGAGGATTATGCAAGGTTCGGTGATGACTGCATGTCATTAACCAAAATTTGTAATTAATCTATTCTGTCACCTTAAATCTGTCGTCTTTACTCAAAAAAAGTAAACCGACTTTACTAATCCGCGCCAGCCACGTGAGAAACTAGAATGGGGGGCGGGGGGAGGGTGGCAACTGTTTTCACTTTTCTCTTCCTGTTTTTTTTAGAGCCTGAGAAGCTCTGAAAAGCCTGAGAGCAAGTCAGAATTTCCAGTCTTTTCCAATTCCCACACGACTCCCTAATTTAGAACGAATTCATACAAAATAAAGTCTCTTTTCCATCTGGGGAAGACGGCCGCCTGCCGTGGAGCATCCTCGCTCCCCGACAAGGAAATGGCCTGGGGTGGGGAGATGTTCCAGCCACAGCCTCCACCCGACCCCGCTCCGACGCCGCCTTGGGCTTAGCGTACCCCCGCTGCGGGGACACATGACAAGTAGTGAAAACGCTTTGGCCGAGAGTTGGACCCTACCAGGAGACCCCTAGGGGGAACAAGCAGCGGTGGCGTGACACTGCGTGTCAAGCGGCCACTGGGGATCCCGTACTTTCTAAGACTCAGGCGTCTGGCTGCAGAGACGAGGCTACGGTGATATCCCCTGGGTGCCTCTGCGCACCCACTGCCCCCCGAGGACTGGCAGTGTGGTGCACCTAAAGTCTGTGCTTGAGCCGCAGAGGCGACGAGCCCTCGGCAGCGGACGCGGCGCTGAGCTTCGGTGGCCTCTCACGTGCAGGAAGCTCCGCGTAGCCCACTATTTAAGCACGGCCAGGTGGAGAGGTCCGGGCGCTCCCCCACGCCCTGCTGCATCCAGATTGGAAAGGATGGGGAATCAAAAAGTGTTCCTGCGGCGACAACCACAAAGAGACACCATTTAGCGATTGTGTAACCCTGTGGAGTTCAGCCACTGGGCCTTTCCCTGCAGCCCTGGCTTTGCTCCAGACCTGGCCCGGGTGACATCATCAAACTCCTCCGATCCGCAGGAGGGGCCCCCGAAATCCCCTAAAAACATTGTGAGTAATCGCCGGGCCCGCCCTCCAGGCGGGGCCCAGATCGAGGGGCGAACGGAACCCGGCCGCCCCGCCAGCGGCCTCCGGACGAGAAGCCTCTCGATCCCCGGTACGGCGCGCACTTGCACCCGGGCTCCGGCGACGGCGTACTAGCGGCCTCCCAGTGCTCGGCGCGCACTGGTTACCAGTCCCGCGAGGGGAGGTGGCGGCGGCGGCGGCGGCGCAGCGCGCAGGCGCGGCCGATTCCCGGCAGTGACGCTGCAGTGGGCGCGCGCGGCACATTTCCGCCTCTGGCGAATGGCTCGGCTGTAGCCTTCGCGGCGGGCCCAGCTGCGACCCCGGCCCCGCCCCCGGGACCCCGGGACCCCGGCCATGGACGGTGAGGGCGCTCTCTGTCCCCGGGGGGTGGCAGGGCCGAGGCCGCGGGGACCGCGGCGGGAGCCTCCGCGCCTTCCGCCCCTTCCTCCGCCGATGGGCGCTGTGCAGGGAGCGGCCGGCCGGATGGTGGCGCGGGGCGGGGCCGGTGTTGTGGGGTCTGACTCACTTTCCCCTCTGGGAGGATGGGGCCTTGACCGAGTAGGTGGGGGTGGGGGAAATGAGCTTTGACTCAGTTTCCTCCTGGGGCTTATGGGGCCAGTTCCGACTTAGTGTCCTTGTTAGGGGAGAATGCATCTGCCTCAGTTTCCTTTGAGGATCCCAAGTGGGGAGTGCCGTCCCATAGTTCTCCTTATGAAAGTTGAAAAGGCCCTGACTCAGTTTCCCCCAGTAAAGGAGAACGCCGTACTCAGTGTCCGCTCAGGAAACAGGCGTTTCTGGCTCTTTTTACTTCCACCCCTTAGTTTCACCACAGCTTCTAGGGAAGCAGGCCCTGACTCAGTTTCCCTGGGAGGCCCTTCCTGCTGAAGACAGGAAGTGGGCTTGTGCTGACCCTTTCTCCCTCCTCTTTCAGATCTGTTCCCCCTCATCTTCCCCTCCGGTAAGTGGACGATCCTTGCTCAGCCCTTCTGGAAGGGCCCCCCGGGTAGGTGCAGTGGGGGCGGCCGCCTGACGGAGGCTGGCTGGCTGGTGTCTCCGCAGAGCCAGCCCAGGCCTCGGGCCCCTATGTGGAGATCATCGAGCAGCCCAAACAGCGGGGCATGCGCTTCCGCTACAAGTGCGAGGGCCGCTCAGCGGGCAGCATTCCAGGCGAGAGGAGCACAGATACCACCAAGACCCACCCTACCATTAAGGTCAGCAGGGGCGGGGAACCGTGGATCCCCAGCGAGCTTGCCTCTAGACCCCCTTGAAATCTGTGTCTGGGAGTGGGTTCTGGAATTCCTGAGCCTCCAAGGTGCTTTCTGTACTTTGGACAGATCAATGGCTACACGGGGCCAGGGACGGTGCGCATCTCCCTGGTCACCAAGGACCCCCCACACCGGCCTCACCCCCACGAGCTCGTAGGGAAAGACTGCCGGGATGGCTACTACGAGGCTGAGCTCTGCCCAGACCGCTGCATCCACAGGTCAGCTGCCCGTGGGCTGGCAGGGCTTTGGGCCTGCCGTGTCACCGTTACAGTGTTACTTTCTGGACAGAGGGCAGAATCCACTGCTTGCTCTCCCCCCAGCTCTGCAAGCAGATTTCCTTTGTCTTGACATGATCTGTTTACGCATCTACTCTCTCAAGCAGTTACCAGCTCCATGGGAGGGGGATGGGTCCCTAATGACCTCTGAGCCCCCAGCCCCGTAGTGTAGCTGGAACAGCGAGTCCCTCAGTGTAACGTCTCTTGTAGTGAGGAAGAAAACCACAGAACCAGCAGCCTCCCCTGGAGCTAATGCCAGCTGACAGAGACAGGCTGTAAATAAATGTATAGCTAAAGAAATAAAATACTGTTCAAGAGTAACTTAATGATGAAAATAAAAACAATAGTAAGAGGAACATCCCACAGTTGGGGAGGCCAGGGAGCCGTTCTCGTTCCTTTGAGCCGGGAGGCCCAGGAGGGCTTTTCCCAGGTAAGATGAATGGCGAGGAAGCGCAGGAAGGCACGGAGAAAACACTGCAAGCAGAATGAACACGTGCAAAGGCCTAGAAGTGGGAGTGAGTGTGGCATGTGTGGAGACCAGAAGAGAAGCCCCTGGGACTGAGGGTGGGAGCTGGCAGGGATGGTGGCTAGGGCGGGTCACAGGGCAAAGGGTCTGGCTGGCCAGAGCAAGGAGTGGGTTCCATTGCAGCACACTGGGAGGCCATGCGGGAGGGTTAAGCAGGGAGCGGTGGTCTGGCAAGGGGAGGGGAGGAAGGGGTGGGCTGGGCAAGGCAGGAGGGCCCGGGCTCTACTGGAGACAGTGTGACCAATGCCGGGGGAACTCAGCTTCCAGAACCTGGGGATCCAGTGCGTGAAGAAGCGGGACCTGGAGCAGGCCATCAGTCAGCGCATACAGACCAACAACAACCCCTTCCAAGGTGAGGGCCTAGGGGCGATGACCTCTGTCGCCCTTCCGAGGCCACCTCCCCTGCATCTCTCCCTCACTGGCCAAGACTCACAATACAGATGGAATCTTGCTGGCCATTCAGTACACTCCCTTTTTACCACTGGGGACACTGAGACCCAGAGAGGGGACATGGCATCCAGGGTCACACAGGTCAGTGATGGGTCTAGAACCTTCTCTTCTTCCTCTAGGACTCCTCCTGTTTCACACACCCTCAGACAGCCCTTCCAGCCCCGAGCTCCCTGCCCTGGCTCTCCTGACTGTCTGTCTTTCTGGCAGTTCCCATAGAAGAGCAGCGCGGAGACTATGACTTGAATGCGGTGCGGCTCTGCTTCCAGGTGACAGTGCGGGACCCGTCAGGCAGGCCCCTCCGCCTGTCACCTGTCCTCTCTCATCCCATCTTTGACAACCGTGAGTGGCCAGGGAGGGATAGGCCCGTAAGGAGAAGGGAACTGGGTGGGCATGGCCTATGAGAGGCCTTTGGCTTTGTTTAGTTACCTGGCATCTTTGCCATCCCTTCGGTGTCCAGCTCCGCTGGCCTGGGAGACGAGGCAAAGAAGACTCAGTTGCCCTCGCAAAGCTTCCAGGCCAGCGGGGCGTCAGACGGAAGACAGGCGTTTCCAGTGTGTGATGGGAGCTGGTGTGCCCAGAACTTTATTAATAACTCCAGGAAATGAACTCTCAGGAACAAGACGATGTTAGAAAGTAATAATTCAGTGATGAAAGCTCCCAGGAAGTTCACAGATGAATTGGGCCAACACTGACCAACTGCAGTCTTAAATTAAGTAACCAGCAGAATGAATGAATTAAAAAGGGCCCTAAGCTCAAAGGACAGGAAACTAGAATGAACAGGTCAGGAGGGAAGGGTTCATTGCCAAGGTGGGCGTAATAAACTGGGCCTTGAAGACTGCTTGGGTCTGGAGAAAAGAGGTATGGCCAGACTGGTTCCCACTGGACTGTGAGCTCCATGCGGGCAGGAGTGTTTAGGGTTTGTGGGTTGTTGCATTCTCCGTGCCTGGAACAGGGCTGGGAATGTAGTAGGGGCTGGTAGATAAATAATTGCTGAGTTGATTGGGGTGAGGGATTGAGCCTTGGCTGTGAAGGTATAGTTCGCAAGCTATGGATATTGCTTTATTTATTGATTTTTTTAAAGTAAGAATTCCTGTCTTGCCCTGGCTGGTGTGGCTCAGTGGACTGAGCCTGTAAACGGCAGGGTTGCCAGTTTAATTCCCAGTTAGGGCACAGGCCTGGGTTGTTGGCCTGGTTCCCGGTTGGGGGCGTGCAAGAGAGGACCAACTGATGTTTCTCTCCCGCCCTTTCTCCCTTCTCTCTTTAAAAAAAAAATCTTTAAAAACAAAACAAAACATTGTTTTCTTTAAAGAAGAAAGAAGAAAAATAATTTTTTTTAAAGATTTTATTTGTTTTTAGAGAGAGGGAGAGGGAGAGAAACATGAATGTACAGGAGAAACATCAATCAGTTGCTTCCCATGCGCACCCTGACCGGCGACCAGGCCACAACCCAGGCTTGTGCCCCCACCGGGGATTGAACTGGTGACCTTTTCTCTTTGCACAATGATGCCCAACCACCTGAGCCACACCTGTCTGGGCAGGCTCCGGAAGATCTTGACTGGAGCGACCAGGATGTCATATCGCCTACAGGCCAGGCCTGGGGACCTCTGGTGGTTCAGGGCTGCCTTCCTTATCCCCACACCTGCAGGCGCCCCCAACACTGCAGAGCTCAAGATCTGCCGGGTGAACCGAAACTCCGGGAGCTGCCTCGGTGGGGATGAGATCTTCCTGCTGTGTGACAAAGTGCAGAAAGGTATGTATCAGGAAGCAGGGCTGGGCTCTGGAGCGGGAGGGAAGGGACAAGGCGGAGCAGAGATGGCAAGTGTCAGGCAACTGGCTTTAAACACGCCTCCCAGCACCTTGGGGGCAGCACTGTGACGTATCTTGGGAGACGAGTATGGACAGGGGCGGGTGGCTGGCTGTGGGCGAGCTCGTGCACCGGCCCACACCGCCATTCCGTCTCCTGCAGAGGACATTGAAGTGTATTTCACGGGACCAGGCTGGGAGGCCCGAGGCTCCTTTTCGCAAGCCGATGTACACCGACAAGTGGCCATTGTGTTCCGGACGCCTCCCTATGCTGACCCCAGCCTGCAGGCCCCCGTGCGTGTCTCCATGCACCTGCGGCGGCCTTCAGACAGGGAGCTCAGCGAGCCCATGGAGTTCCAGTACTTGCCAGACACAGGTACTCGGCGGGGGAGAGCACGTGCCGCCCTAGCATGAGGCTGGCCTGGTCGTCCGGGGCCGTAGCTGAGGGTCAGAAGCTGAAGCTGGGCGGACTCTCCACAGTGTGGAGGCTCTTCTGCCTCACGGAATAAGAACCATACCCAAGACTTACTGAGCTTTTATCACATGCGTGCCTGTATTTCAAGCATGTCCCTGAATTACCTGATTTTACTCTTTTACAAACCTTTTGAAGTAGCAGATAGCATCTAAGTCACCTGAGATCGCATAGGTGGAGAGTCAGAGCCAACATTTTAATTGAGGCTGTCTGGCTCCAGGGTACTGTTGCCACACTGTGTGTCTCTTGTCACTGTCGCACAGCCATGGTTTGGCCAAGGCTTTTGGGCATCTGACCGCAGAAGGAACAGCCAGCATGACCCTCTGTCCGGTGCGTGTCATCTTGCCGGAGAGCGCCCTCTGCCCCGGGGCAGTCTGACACGGTTTGGAAAGCAGCCCCAAACCAGCCGTCCGTTCATTCCACCAGTAATTACTGAGTGCCCACTTGGCGCCAAGGCCCGTGCCGGGTATTGCGAATACCAGCACGAATAAGACGTGTTCCCTGCCCTTCAGAAGTTCAGTCACATGAGGAAGACACATGCAAAAACAAATCATTAAGTCAGAGTGACGTGAAACGGAGGGAGGTGTGTGCAAAGCGCTGTGGGAGCTGGAGGCAGCCACAGGGAGGAAGTGGCATTTAAATTGGACAAAAGCACATTTCCAGGCAGGTGGACCGGCTCTGGAAGGGCCGGGGTGTGGGAGCGCGCAGGTGTGTTGCGCCAGCTTTGTGGTGGGAGGTGGCGTGGGCAGGGAGCAGGCCCGGGCAGGAGAGCCTTGGGCATCGGGCTTAAGGCGTGCGTCCAGGGTTTCATCCAGAAGGCAGTGGGCAGCGGGCAGCCACGAAGCTTTAGGAGCAGAGAAGTGACACGAACAGATCTGGAGGTCCACTCTGGTGACAGTGAGTAGAGGGTCTGAGAGGCAGAGACTGGAGGGGGAAGGCCATGCTGGAATATGTCCCAGTGGCCCAGGAAGAGAAGGTGGGGCCTGAACCTCGCAGAAGGAATGGCAAAGAGGGACCGTGTCATACGCTGCTGTCCTCCTCGGTTACCTTTCAGCCCTGCAGGCCTTTTCGTGTCTCGCACACCAAGCTCAGGACCCATGTTCCAGCTCTTACCTCTCCTTGAAATACTTGACCCCCAGGTCTTCATGTGGTGGGCTCACACCGGTGCTTTCTTGGCCTCTCAGCTAGACTTCCTGGTGTCACTTCAGCACTGTTAACGTCACCACGGGTCTCTTCCTTAGCGCTTTTATCATTTGTATATGGTTGTGTCCCTGTCACTAGGATGTCAGCTCTTGGGAACAGGAACCTTGTCTGCTTACTCAGGGCTATGTCCCCCAGTGGCCAGGACGGAGCCTGGTACATAGTAGGTGGTTGGTCAGTATGATGCGTTAGCGGATGGTGGGAGGGAGAGGAAGATGCTGAGGATGACTCCAGGGTTTCTAGCTTTGGTGACAGGGCGGACAGGTGGTGAAGAAAACAGGAGGAAACAGAACCATGTTTTTGAGGAAAGAGGCTGCGGCTGGCTTTGGACTGATGGCATTGAGGACTTCAGAGTTTCCCCGGTGCTGCGGTAGTTAGTTCTGAAGCTCCAGGCTGAACTATCGAACCATCAGAGATAAGAATAAGTCTCTGTGGGAGCCTTACACAAGCCCATCCTGCCTCAACTGCCCCAGAGCACAGAGAGGCCACCGCCGAGCTTGGCTCGACGCCAAAGATGAGCCAGGACGTGAGCAGTGCGAGTGAGGGAATAAGCTGAGGCCAGGGCCCCCGGGGGGCTCCAGTTCCCACAGAGCGTGGTCCCTTTGCTTGGAGGCCTTCAGAGAGGCAGACCCAGGCAACGGAGGCCTTCTCAGAAAGCTGAGGGACTCTTAGAGCTGCTCAGTGTCACGCCGCTATTCTCATTGACGGGGAAGGTTTGGAGAAAGGGCCTTAGAAAAATTTGGCTCATCACCTTCCTGCTGAGGGCCCTTTGAGAGCTTGGGGGTCCAGTTGAGAAAAGCAAGACTCACTTCTCCCTGATGCTTTCCCAGATGATCGTCACCGGATTGAGGAGAAGCGCAAAAGGACCTATGAGACCTTCAAGAGCATCATGAAGAAGAGTCCTTTCAATGGTGAGAAGGGCAGTGGGGAGAATTAGAAGACAGAGAAGGGAGACCCTCAGGGCGAGGAACTGACCTAGCCTTGTTCCACAGGCCCCACCGACCCCCGACCTCCGCCCCGGCGCATTGCCGTGCCTTCCCGCAGCTCAGCTTCCATCCCCAAGCCAGGTAATGGGGCTGCAGGCCCATGTCCTCTCCGCTTGTGGCTTCTACGCCCTCTCGAGGGGAGCGAGTGGTCGGCCTCATCAGCAGGTGTCTGCAGCTTGTTCTGTGTCAGCCTCACGTTTCTCAGGGCATGAGGCCTAATTACCTGTTGCCCCAGCCATCTGGAAAGGGGTGACTGCGGATTGCGGGGCCCCATTGTAGATCTATGGAATCAGAAGCTTCGGGAGTGCGGCCCAGGAACCAGCTACTTCCTGGGGACACTAACGCACACTGACGTCATAGAGCCACTGTGCCAGTAAACACCCCATATTGGACACCTAGGGATACAGAGTTAGAAAGTGGAGTCTCTGCCCTCAGCTTGGTCACATTAGGGAAACAAAACAAATCACGTCTTAAGTAGCAAAATGTATATGCTGGTGTGTGGCTCAGACGTGAGACAAAGTGCCCTGCTTTAGGCTACACTCACTGGATACCTAATCCTTGGGCCCTCAGGGCTTAGTTTTGTAGCTGTAAGATGACATTTTACTAGCTGATCTCTGAAAGCATCCCTTCCTCTGGGAGGGGAAGGCTGGGAGAGCTTTCTGGGCTCGAGTAGACAGGGAGGGCTCCAAGGCGGGGAGGCCTGAACGGGAGCCTGCAGGCTGGGTCGGACTGGGTAAAGGGTGCTGGGAGGCGCCGACCCCGTGCGTTGTTGGCAGGCTGGGGTGCAGAGGGCGGGGTGGGTCTCAGGCTTCCTCTGACCCGTCTCCCTGTTTCTCTTCCAGCTCCCCAGCCCTATCCCTTTCAGCACTCCCTCAGCACCATCAACTTTGAGGAGTTTCCCCCTATGGTCTTTTCTTCTGGGCAGATCCCAAACCAGACCTCTGCCATGGCCCCGGCCCCCGCCCCAGTCCTGGCTCAGGCCCCAGCCTCTGCCGCAGCCCTGGCATCAAGCCTGGCTCAGGCCCCGGCCCCTGCCCCAGTCCTGGCCTCCAGCCTCGCTCAGGCTGTGGCCCCGCCTGCCCCCGAGCCCACCCAGGCAGGGGAAGGGACACTGACAGAGGCACTGCTACAGCTACAGTTCGATGCCGATGAAGACCTGGGGTCCCTGCTGGGCAGCAGCACTGACCCAGCCGTGTTCACGGACCTGGCATCCGTAGACAACTCGGAGTTTCAGCAGCTGCTGAACCAGGGTGTATCTGTGGCCCCACACACAGCAGAGCCCATGCTGATGGAGTACCCTGAGGCTATAACACGCCTGGTGACAGGGTCCCAGAGGCCCCCTGACCCAGCTCCCGTTCCCCTGGGGGCCTCTGGGCTCCCCAACGGCCTCCTCTCAGGGGATGAAGACTTCACCTCCATCGCAGACATGGACTTGTCAGCCCTTCTGAGTCAGATCAGCTCCTAAGGAGGTGACACCTGCCCTTCCCAGAGCACTGGGTTGCAGGAGATTGATTGAAGCCCTCCCAAAGCAAGCAAGCACGGAATTGGGGGATGTGTGCTCCAGCTGTCCTCAACTTCTCTGGGTGATGTCTTAGTGGTGGGGGGGGGGGTGCCTTTTATTCTTTTATTGGCAGTCTCTCTCTCGCTCTCTCATCATGGAGGTGCTTAAGTATAAGCATTAACTTTTCTGGAAATGGGAAAGCTGGGAGGAGTCAAACTCTTCCTTTCCCTATCCTGATGTTCAGCTCCCTTCTTTCTATAGGGAATTCTGGGGTCCCCCGCCCCCACCCTCCAGCTCCTCGTACTCTCTTAGAGAGAGACGGTCAGCCTGGAACTGTGGCCTTGGAGGCCGCGAAGCCTTACTATCAAGTGTCTTCCTCAAATCATGGATTCACTTACACTTGAGCCAGAATAATGCCCCTGTTACCAGCTCTTCCATGGTGCTGGCATTGTTCTTGTGCCTAACACCAGCATTTGAAGGGCTGGACTTCCTGCTCTGCTGAGATCTCTGCCAGCTCTTTCCTTGCCCAGCTGTGGCTGAAAAGACTGGTGGGACAGCTCTGGCCCTCTCCGTGATCCAGGGACGCTGCTCCCCCTTTTTACAAGTGCCTTAATAGGGTGAGTTGTTTGGAGAGTCAGGGGAGGGCAGGCTGGCAGCTCTCCAGTCAAGCAGCTGTTTTTAGTGATGAATCAAAGCAGTTGGACTCTTGCTCTTTCTATTCCAAACTAATAAATTTGTTGCCAAGCCTACCAGAGATCTACCTTCTTTCATCACACTCCTTGTTGGTCCTATCAGGTTGGGCATTGGTGATACAGACTTGGGTGAGTGTTTACACTGTCGCCTGGGAGCTTGCATTCAGAGGGTGCCCTTGAAAACCCCCAGTCACCATCCAGTGGGTGATAGTAGGCTCAGGTGGGTGGAGTTCCCAGTGCAGTGGAAGCCCAGTAGGACCCATTAGCAGTGGGGAGCTTCAGCCCGTAGATCAACGTAAGAAGGTGGTTATCAAAGGGGATAGCCAGCATTTGTAGGCGAGCAGGGTAAGAAAATGATGTTGGAAAGGTTCAGTGGGGCCAGGCTGTGAAAAATCAAGGTCGCTGGGCCTAAGAGGTTTGGACATAATCTTTTGGGTTATCAAGGGAGAGAGTGTATCTGTTGGGGAAATACCGGGTAAAGTATGGTTTGATATCCTGTTCTGGTAAAACCAAAGACAAGGAATCTAATCTGCAGCTCCAGGAGACTCAAACAAAACCAAACTAACCTAAAGGACTAGAGGAGAGGTACTTCCGTTTTAGCGTTACGCATGCGCAGTAAAGCAGGGTCAGCGCAAGGCTTTGCCCGCTAGGCCCTGCCTTTTCGAATGCGCATGTGCACAGATAGTATTCTGCATCGGGGAACCAGGTACTGTGCTCCGGGAAAACCCCTGCCCTGAAGCGCATGACTTCTGTGTTCCGGGCTTTGCACTGTGGCGGAAGGGTGAGGGCAAGGGCAAGCAAGTTACCAGTGGGACGTGCTTCGACAGCTGGAGAGTCCCATGAGAACAATCGGCCCTGAGTGCACACTCGATGGGCAGTGCCTGCAGGGGAACAGGCCAAAGGACTGCGGGAAGCTGCGGAACTGGCAAATGGCTGTAGCGGGGAACTCGCCCCGGCTACCTCGTCTTTGGTCAGGGGCGGGGTCGGGGCGGGGCCGGGGCGGAGCCTGAAACGCTGGGCTGCTAGGGCCAGCCCCAGCTGCAACTTCCGCGAGGGGCGGAGCCCGATCGTGATGACCAGGTCAGGACCTGGGCGAACCTGCCAGGCAGCCCGTGAGATGAGACTTGATGGAACAGCGGAGCTTGATGGAGCTGCGGGACTGAGGGCTCCGGGGCGAGCTCGAGGAGGGGCCTGACCTGGTGAGAAGGCTCCTAATCCGAGGAAGTGGGTGGCGGAGCCGTCCCGAAATGTTGCCAACCTGAGGCACAGAGGGGTATTCCAGCCATGCCTAGTTCCGCTCTTCTGGGTATTCCCATTGTCCTGCAGTGTCCTCCCTTGACCCCCGGAAGCCCTCTAACGGTCCTTCCCACACTCTTTGAGTGACCTCATCCTGTTCATGGCTCACCAGTCCCAATTCCTTATCTCTAACCTAGGCCTCTCTCTTCTGCGTGACAGTCCACTGAACATCTCGTACTGATGTCATTAAGGGCTGTCAAACGAGTCCCGTTCCAAATGACCAGAGCCGACCCTAGCCTGCCCTCCCCATCTCAGCCATGGCCCGGTCCTCCTCCAAGGGCTCCAGCCAGGAGCTCGGCTACCACTGCGGATGCTGCGCTTTCTCCCCAGGTCCACTCCCTGACCAGGCCCTGGCAAGCCTTCCCCCTCCTCCCCATCTCCACCCCTACTGCCTGGCTTACGCCGCCGCCATGTTCCTCAGGGGCTGCTGCTACAGCCTCCTCCTTGGCTTTGTTTCCATGTAGCCAAAGGGCTCCGACACCCAAAGTGCACCTCATTGCTCTCCCTTTGAACATCTATCAACAGCATGACCAGATCCCAGTTTCCTGCAGATACTCGGACAGCAGCCAGAGCCTTCCATAGTGCCCCGGGAGGCCTGCTCAGGACAGCCCACACCAGGTAATAGTTAAACGATGTCGGGAACTGCTGGTCTAGGGTCCCGAGTCACCTTTCACAGCCCTTTCTGATTCAGCTGCAGCCTCTTTGATCCTGGGTCCCTGCGTGTGCCCGACTCCAGTCCAATAGCCCCCAGACTGGTCCTATCAGGGATACCTCTGACTCAGTCTTCAAAACTCAGCCCTCGCATTACCTCCTCCATGAATCCTGATCTTCTGATGCTGTTTCTCAAAGCCTGGTTCATCCTGACAAAGCCTACGTTAATGGCCGGACCCAGAGCCCGGGCCTCAGCAGGGTGCGCCTCAGCCGGCCAGCAGAAGGGGCGGGGCTAGGCATGTGATACTGGGCAAGTCCGTGCCCTGGTGGGGCCTCAGATCCAGAAAACAAAGGGTTGAGATGGAATCCAAGTTCGGACCCGCCGATGGCACTCATAGGAATGGGCCCGGCCTGGTGAAGAACGAGGGGTCATGGGCTGACTCCCTCCAGGACATGGAAACACCCCCCAGGCAACCGAGGCACAGGCACCACCACCTCTGGAATTGGGCCCTGTAAGCCCTGGCCCTGTGGACGAGGGAGTGCCAGGCTCGGGGCTCAGCGATTGCAGAGAGGAGAGGCGGGGCTTGCACCGGGGGATAGGGCCTTGCAAGGTGAGATGGCCTTCAGAGAGGGGAGTGGCCCAAGCTCTCCTTGACACCTACGCTCGAGCTCTTCCCTGTCCTGTAGATCCACACTCTGCCCCTGATCTCAGCCCCTCGGTTTTGGTTCCAGGACAGGGGCCTGCCCCTATGCCCCCAACAGACCAAATAAATGTTTGTGGGAGGGAAGCCGAAGGGTAACCCAGCACCAGAGAACCCCTCAGTGAGTGCCAGCCCGACCCAAGCCCATGTCCCCACGGCCTGCCTTTCTGACCGCTCCTGGGATCTTGGCTGGGGCCTCTGGGGGCAAAACACTGGCATATCATGAACATCAAATGCAAACACAAATAGCAGTGGCTTCTTTACTCCCTGAAGTCCCCTTTTCTTCACAGGATATTTACACACAGGAATGGGGTAGGGACAACCCTGCCACCAATTAACGGGCTGGGGTGTGGGGGCAGTGCTCAGATGCGCCTCTGCGCAGGGAGAGTTCCTGAGGGGGCCCAAGGCCCAGTGTCACCCTGGGGCCCTGAAGGACCTGGGCGGTTTGGAGCAGGTCCACGGTTGGGTCTAAGGCTGGACCCCGTGGCTCAGGTCAAGTCAGCAGCGGGCGAGCCCAGCTGCCTGGGGGCCAGGAGCAGGCGGGCAGCAGCCTCGGATCGGGCCTGCAGCCGCAGGTTCCGGACCTCCTCCTCCAGGGCGGCTCTGTCTGCCTTCTCCTGGGGCGGGGGAGGAAGCAGGAGTCAGAATGGCCAGTCCCTTTCTGGGGGCGGCCCTGTGATTCCCCGACAAACCCCAGCCCTCCCTGTCACCTTCTGCAGGTCCTCCTGCAGCTTCTTGAGCATGGACTCCAGGTGAGAGACCTTCTCTGACAGGCTCCCCGGTTCTGGCCTGAGGACATGGGGGCCAGGGCTCAGGGGCACCGAGGCGGAGGGCAGCACCACAGCTGGCTCCAGACCCTCCTGAATGGGAGGGGCCCGCCCCCCTCACACACACAAGTGCACGTGAAATCAGAGCCCGGGGACAGCGCTTAGCCCCAGAGGAGGGACACAGGCGGCAGTTACGGGGCCTGGTGAAGGGGCTGGATCAAGGTGGGGAGCCTTACTCAGCATCAGATTTTGCGGTTCCCTTGGCATCTCCACCATCTGGGATGGGCTGTCCTGTGGGGAAAGAGGGACCGTCTGAGCAGGCTGGTGAAAGAAGGAAGAGCTCCTCCCTGGCTCCTCCCCACTGCGCTCTCTTGGCCTCACCCTCCCGGGACAGCGACTCCAGGATGGTGTTGCAGGTGGAGGCGATCTCCGAGATGGACTGCCACTCGTCTTCCAGAGTCTCGCTGCCCGCTTCCGACATGACTGGGCACAAGGAGGTGGGCTCAGCCAGGAAAGCCCTGGCCAGCCCCTCACCCCACCCCGCACCGTCTATCCTATACTCCAATGCCTCCAGACTCACTTTTGCTGATGGAGTTTCGAAGAGACAAGGTTCGTGGCAGGAAGGAGGCCCTCAGCTCCGGGGCCGCGTCACCCCTGTCCTCACCACCACTGGGCCTGGCCGGCCCGTCCTGAGGGGCAGAGATGGGCACGGAGGCAGCGATGCCCAGCAGCCCCACCGTGTCCACCCCTGCTCGTGGGGCTCCAGAGCCTTACTTCTGCTCACCTGGGTCGGGGGCGTCTCCCTGCCTGCACTAGGTGCTGGCGGCTTGGACGTGGTGGCCAGGAGGAGGTCCGGGGTGGTGTTGGGCAGGACTGGGGCCTCATCTGACAGGGAGCTGGGGAGAGCAGGGACAGCTCAGCACTAGAAGCTGCTCCCACGGCCCTTGCTTTCAGAGGCCCGCCTGCCTGCGCTGCCCCCCAAGGCTGGATGAGAGGCATGGAGGAGGGTGCACCTGCAGGGTGACGGCGAGCTCTGGCTGCGCAGGAACTCAGTCCTCTCTTCAGCCAGGTCCCCGGGCCCTGGAGGGCTGCTGCCATCATTCAGGCACATGCTCAGCAGCTGCTTGGTGATGGGCATCAGGGCGCTGCCAGGGGCCTCCTCCTGCACTGGCTCTGGGGCCCCCCGCCGGCTGGGCTCCTGCAGCGACAGCCGATACAGCTCCGAAAAGCTCCTGCGGGGACGAGGGGGTGGCTTCAGGTAGGCACGTCCCGCCCCCCGCGTCCTGCCTCAGCAGCCCCACTCCCAGCTGTCCCTGAGGCTCACTTCCAGGAGAGCTCCGCAATGCCCTAAGACTGAAAACTGGGTGCCTGGCGACCGGCTATTGTTCTAGAGCTGGGTTCAAATCACAGTGCTGCCTGTGTGGCCTGGGCAAGGCACTCCGAGGGTCCTTTGCCCCGTCTGTGAGGTGGGGATAATCGTGCTGATCTCGTGCCTCGCTGTGAGAATGTAAATAATAACACCTCGCAGAGAGGTCCAAAAACTCCTGCATGGGCACCAAACCCAGCCCCTGCCTTTTCTTTTTGAAACGTGCCTGTTTTTATACGAATGCAAGGCTAAGAATGTTTTTTACATTTTTAAATAGCAGAAAGAAATCAGAAGAACATTTCATGACACGTGAAAACCATATAAAATTCAAATAGCAGTGTCTGTAAATAAAGTTTTAGGATAACTCAGCTATACTCGTTTACTGATTGGCTTCATTCTCCCCATGAAGAAAGTGCCGTTCAGAGGGCTGAAGAGGCGGATTCTCTCAAGACACACAGGCCGTCACCTGGGATTCCTGAGAATGTTAAGAGCGACCCAGGAGGCACTGCGCGGCGGCCAGCTGCCTGGTCCTCCCACCTGTCTGCATCCACCCTGGCGCCCTGACCTGCGAGGCCGGCCGCTCTCGTCTGGGGGCAGGACGGTGACGCAGGCCTTGAAAGCAGTGCGCAGCAGGCGCGCCGTGTCCTCAGGGCCAAGTGTGGGCAGTGTCTGGCCGCACACCCGCAGCAGGCGCGCCCCGGCCCGCAGCCCCGTGGTCTCGGCGAACGTGAAGCGCTCCACGTGTGTGATGAAGCCCTCGGCATCCACTTCAAAGCCCAGGCGGCCTTGGCCGTCACGGGGCAGCACCAGCTCCCGGGTCTCACAGCCACGGCTCACCAGCTGGGGCAGAGTGAGGGGTAAGTGGTGCTGACCCCTGACCTGGGGAGGGGCTGCCCAGTGCCAACCGCGGGGACCTCGTCCCAGGCCACACAGACTTTCCCCCCACCCCGGCACTGCCCCCCTAGGAGAGCGTTAACTAGCCACCTGGCAGATGAGAGCCCAGTAGCTCGGAGACTAGGGCCACCTGCCCAAGGACCCCCAGTTCCAGCTTTGCCAAGCTCCCGGGCTGGGTCTGACCCCCTCGACTCTCCCTTTCTCAGGAGAGAGGGCGGGAGTGAGGGATTCCAAAGCAGGCTGTGCTCCCCACACGCTCAGAGACCCGGGCAGCCCGTGCCCTTGCTCCTGGGTCTCACCTGCAGGCGCGCCACGACTTCGCCTACGGCTTGCCCGGGGGGCCCGTCGAACCGTAGGGTGATCGCCTCCCCGCGGCCATGGTACAGGTCAAGCTGTTGCTCTGAGAAGGTCCAGGCCAGCACATCGCGACAGGCACAATTAAAGACTACACGGCCGTCGCGCGGCGCCACCAGCACCAGCGCCTCGGCAGAGATGCCCAGCAGGCAGGGCACCCCGTCACCATCGGGGCTGCCCGCTTGGGCCCCTGCCGCGCCCCGCGCCCCGGGTGCAGCGCGCACTCCCCACACCAGCGCGCCAGCCGCCTGCAGCTCGGCTCCCGGGCTGCGAGGGGATGCTCGCCGCCTCCCGCCTAGGGAGGGCAGGCCAAAGCGCGTAGCTGAGTCCAGCGACGTGGTGGTCACCTCGTTGGTGGCCAGGTCCTCCAAGTACTGCTGACGCGTGCGTGTGGCCATGGCATGGAACTGGCGTGCGTGGCCCGCTGCCTGCTCGCCATTGAGTGCCTTGGCCAGCAGGAAGGCCCGAAAGTCTGCGTTGGCCGCGAAAGGGCCACCTCCCGGGGGTAGAGCCGGACCAAAAGCTGGGGTGTCCTGGGTGCGGCTCACCGCCACCCTACGGGGAGGGAGATAGTCAGGGGCAACAGGAAGGATCCAGGAAGTTTTGCCGGTGGCAGAATTGGGACCACCGGGGCGCCCACCTGTAGGAAGTGTGCGGAGTACAGGGCGCTTGTGCCCGCACCACCAGGAACACGTGCTGAAAGTGGGAGCGGATGGTGGTGGGGCAGAAGGGCTTGCTGCCCGGTTCCTGGAACACGACGGTCACAATGTTGTTGCCGATGTGGCGCTTCCGCAGGAGCTAGGAGTCAGATGGTGGGCGCTGTGAGTGGGACATGTCTGCCCCCAAGTCCCTCCCCATTCAAGCCGGGCACAGCCTGGGCACCAGTGGCTTCGCCACCTGCGCCGGGTAGTTGTCTCTGAGGAGGGTTACCAGCTGGGAGGGTTGTTGGGGAACTCGGGCCAAAGCTCAAATACCGCCATCCCCACAGCCCCCCTCCAAGGTTCCCCAGAAGCCCCTGCCCACCCCCACCTCCATTCCAGCCGCCTCCCACCTGCTGCTGGTTATTGGGGGTGTAAGGCAGCATTGTGGACACGTGGAACATGATCTCATGGTCCTGGTACGTGGTGTAGAGCGAGTGCGTGCCTGTGGAATCCGCTGTGGCCCGGGAGTTGGGACACGGAGAGAGAAAAGGCAACCTGGGTGGCTTGAACCTACCACACCTGCCCGCAGTCTGGGGCCTGCGCACCCCCACCCAGCAGGCGGACAACCCCTTCAGGCCACCAGCCAATGCCCAGGCCACGAGGTTTTCAGCCTTGGCTGCTCCCTTCTCCCTCCCTCCCACAGATTCCAGCCTCCAGCCTGGGGTCAGGTTGAGAGCGTTGAAATAGAATGAAGACAGAAATAAGAAATGGCCTGCTAGTGGGAGGCAGGACAGATGAGCTAGAGAGGACAAATGTTGGCCCAGGTACCAACCAGCATGTGGAACTGCGGGAGAGTGGAAGACAGGCAGGAGGCGCTCAGTAAAAACGCCTCCCAGGAGCCCTGGGGCCCCCAGGAAGCTGAGCTGGTAGAATGTGTGTGTGTCATGCGGGGCAGGGGGTGTGCCCCCAAACTCCCCCTTGGTCCCAGCTTAGGCAGTAGGGCACCAAGGCCTTGGGGACAATTCCAGCCCCTCCCTCCAGCCCATGGCTTGCCCTTTCCAGCCCCTGACCCATGTCCCCAGCCTAGCCAAAGACTCTTCACTCTTGGCCCCAACCTTAGGACAATCAGGGACAGAGAAGTGACAAGACAGTTGGTTCTCACCAAGGCATCCGGCCCCTCAGCACAGGTCTGCCCCCGTCCCTCAACCCCCAGCCTCCTGGGCCTCACTTTTGATGTCCAGCTGGGCCCGGTAGCTCTCAAAGCCTTTGAGCCGCACCACGTCGCCCAGCAGGGTGAGGAACTGCATGAAGGCGGGTCCTGCCTCCTGGTTGTTGTACATCTCCTCTTCCGAGCCCTGGCCCGCCCGGCAGTACAGGATGCCCACCTTGCGCTGGAAGCTCAGCTGGGGGGCGGGGAGGGAGCTGGTTCGCATGTGGCCACGGAGGAGGTGGTTCATGGAAGGGCCCTGACCACGGCGCGCTTGATCCCGACAAATGTTAGTGCTGTCATCCTCCTCTCAGAGCTAGCCTGTCCCCTGACCCCTCAAGTCCCAGGCATCCCCACCCCAGCCTCTGGAAGCCCTGAACCCCACACCATCTCCGCTCATTCTCTGCTTCTGGTTCCTTTCCCTCTGGGGTTTGCTGCACAGCTCAAGGCTCTGTGATCCCACGCAAACAAGCCCTGCCCCCCTCCAGCTCTGGCCTCCCGTCTTCATATTAACCCCATCTATACCCACAGTCCCCACTTCAACTTCATCTCCCCTAACCCTTGCCGCCCCACTCCCGCCCCTCCAGCTCCGAAACCCCAGCTCCCTCCAAAACCCCTCGAATCTTAAAGTGCAGGCTCCCATTCAACAGGTCTGGGACCAGGCCAAATACCTGTATTTTTAACAAGCTCCCAGACGATATGGGTGCCGCAAGTCTAGATTTTATTTTGAGAGGAAGAGCTCAAGGTAACCTCTGATAACCTCTCTCTGAAAGCCAGCTTCCCCCGGGGGCCACAGTCCTCTCCAGGATTAGGGTCAGGGCCAGGGGTCTGGGAGCTGGGCGGACTGGGGCAGACCAGACCTAGCAGCAGGGGTTGGGGCACTGCGGCCACTCACCACTTGCTCGTCCAGCGTGAGCAGCGTGCGTGGCACTTTCGGTGAGGCTGAGCCCAGGCGCAGGCAGGTCGGGCTCAGCCTGGGTGCCACGTGCTCCAGAAGCTTCCTAGGGGACAGGCCCCGTGGGAGCCCTGGCGGCAGCGCCTCCTCCGAGATGGTGCCACGGAGTGTCCGGAGCTGAAGAGGGAAGGTAGGGGCACTTAGAATCCATACAGGTTATTGAGGACAAAATCCGCGATCTGATCCCATGACCCCGGCCCACCTGCGTGGTCCGCACGATGATACGGTAGCTGTGCTGAGTGCCTCCTCCGCTGCCCTCCTTCTCTTCGCGCCGAAGGCTCACTGCCACGGGACCCAGCCCTTCGTCCATGCCGAAGAAGTTCTGGTGTTCTGGGGGGACCCCAAGCAGCGGTTGACTAGTCCCGCCCACCCTCACTGGACCACGCCCGTCACTACATCCCTGCTTAGATCCCATCTCCTCACCTAGTGCAGACTCCAGACTAAGCCCCACCCCTCCTAAGCCCCGCCCACATTTTAACAAAACCGGGTGCCTGTTCCTAGACCCCAGGCCTATGCCCCGCCCCCTCTGCGGCGACCTGGCCGTTTCACACCTAGCCTCAGATCCAGGGGGCCAACGGCTGCCTGCTCCCACTCTCAAACTTGCCGCGACCCTGTCCACCATGCCTATGTTCTCCAGGATGCCTGGGGCCCTGCCTTCTGGACACTGATGAGAACAAGGTTCCGGGTCAGTGTTTTCAGGCCTGTTTTCACCTCACAGCAATGCAGATGGGAAGTCCCTCCCCAGCCCAGAGGGGTGTGAGGGCGAGGCAGAGGGGCTTGCCTGGCTGTGGCTGGAGGCTGGGGTGGGGCTTAGGGTGGTGGTTAAATCTGGGCCCAGCAGAAGAGCCTCGGCCCAGTGGCAGAAGCCTACCCTTCATACAGCCATGGGCTTGCAGGGAAAGGACAGCTCAGGAGTCCTACTGGACGCACTGCAGGGGACAGGGATCTCCGCCCCTTCCAAAGGCCTCCCCTCACCTTTGTTGTAGAAGTACTTGCGGTAGTAGCCAGCGCCCAGGTCTGCGTGCTCCAGGCTATAGGCTGAGGTTCGGTTCTGTGGCTCCTCCAGGACCGACACAGCTGCATTGGGCAGCGCAGGGGGCACAGGTGGGGACACCAGTCCGCCCAGGCCCAGCTCTCCCTCGCCCCCGAGCTCGCTCACAAAGCCAGGTGCCTCAAGCAGCAGGTCTGAGCTGGCAGTCCGGTCCCCAGCTGAGGCCAGGGTCCCAGAGCTGGCTTCGGTGTGGCCCCCTGTACCCCGAGGCCTTGGGGCCCAGTCAAAAAGCAGGCTCTGCACGTCATAGTGTGCGAACCAGCGGGGCTCAGGCACTGGTGGGAAGGCGGGCTCGGGCTCCTCAGCGGGCAGTCCCAGCAGTGCCAGCGGGTCAGCGAAGAGTCCGGTGGGGACCGCAGCAGGCCGGCTGGCCTCCTCATGGCTGTGGGCGCGGGCCCTGGGGCTGGCTGGCGTGGCGGGCCGGGCCTCGCCTGCGTCACTGCCGCTCCGCAGGAGTGGGCCCCGGGTGGGGGATGGCCTCGGCTCGAAGGTGTGCGATGTCAGTGGGGGCCGTGCTGGCTGGCGCAGCTTCCGGGCAAAGAGGTCATCGGTGGGTGCAGGGGCCGTGCCCCGCCGAGGGCTCCCAATGCCACCGGCCAACATGGGCGTGCAGTGGGCCTGGCTTTCCGGGGGCCCAGCTGCACTGGCGGGCGCTGGCGGTGGACGCTTGGTTCCCGGCCGCCAGGCCAGTTCCTGCCCTGAGGGAGGAGGGGGCTGCTCAGAGGGGGCAGGGGAGAAAACAGGAACCCGGGTTTCCAGCCCGGTCTTCCACCACCACTCGGGTTGGCTTCCGGTCCCCTCTGAGACTATCAAAGCCGCTTCCGCTTTCCTGGCCACTTCCTTGTCTGCCTTGGGCTAAGGTTTCCAGCCCCCTCCTCCAGCTAAGCGCTGGGCAGGACCAGGGGTTAGGCTGTCGGGGCCCTGGCCCGGAGGACCTGGAGCCGGGGCAGCCCTTGGGCTGCTAGTGGCCCCAGTTCCCACTCACATACCTTCAGTTTGGCCTGGTCCCCACCAAGGCCTGGCCTCGCTGGACAGATGATTTGTCTCGGCTGGGACGGGAAACCCATGGGGCCACTGGTGTCTGGGTCCTGCCCACTTGACAAAAGGAGGACGTCCTGTCCCCAGAGACCTTCCTCCCTGCCCCTCCCACTTCCTCTGGGGTCCCTGAGGAGGTGAGCACCCAGAGGCCAGGGATCAATGCCCTGTCCCTCACGGCCTCAAAACCTCAAGGACACAGGAGTTCCCAGGGGGCACTGGCAGGACACCAGAAATGACAAGGGGACTTCCTTTGGCACAGGAAGTGGCCCCAACTCTGGACTCAGCCCCCTGCCCAGCCCCACATCCTGAGGAAGGTGGTGGGGTCACACCAGCTCAGTCATGGGACCCAGGTCACCCCGGCCTAAAGGACAGGCCCTGGCTCACCCTCTTGCAAGCTACTGTGGCCATGCCTGGAGGTAGGGGAGTGAGTCACAATGACTAGGCCCCTCGGCTGGAACTAGGAACTGAGGGGGTCGCTGCCTGTCCGACCTCGCTGATGCTGACAGGGCGGTCTGAGCCCCGCGCGACACAGTCAAGCTGAGGTGCAGATAAGGGGATGCTCTCGCCAGAGCTGACCCAAGCCCGGGTCCGTCGGTCTCCTGGGCCCAAACAGCGCTGCGCCCTCCCACTACTGCCCCAGTGCGAACCGGTGTGGGCAGACGGGGGCTGGGCTGAGGCTGAAGACCTCACAGGATGTAAGGCTGCTGAGACACCCAGGGCTCCACAGACCTGCTCGGTGCGGAAATGTGTTGAGGTCGAGGTCAGGGGCAGGTGCGAAGGGTGGTGTGAGAACGTCGGGGGAGCCACCCCTAAGTGAACCCAGGGTGGAGCTGGCCACGAGGGGTGCAGGCACATACTAGTGGGTCTTTGTACATCATCCAGTAACTTTGTGTGGGGCTGGGCTGGGAGGGAGTGGGGGCAGGGGCTCCATGCAGCCCTCAGCTCAAGTTCCAGAACCAAGCAAGGGTAGGTCCTCAAAGCTTGGTGTGCCTCTCTCTCGTTCCTCTGAGGACAAGCTTTGATGCTGACCCTGACTGAGCCTCTGTCCTCTCATCTCTAAAATGGGGTTAACCATTTCCGCTCCTTCTCAACGCTGCGGGGAGATTGAATGGATGGCGAAGGGAGTGAAGCTGGCTGTGTGTTAAGTGTGCAGAGGCAGATGTAGACCCTGGCTCCATGTGCCAAGCTCTTGGACCTCAGCTGTGGTGTGTGGTTGGGATGAGCGGGGACATGAGGAGGGGTCTGTGAAGGCCCCTGCTTTGTGTGAGCTGAGCTCCGGGTGTGCGGACGTGCACAGCTTTTACTCTGGCCCAGTGCCGGGCTCTGGCCCTGCCTTGGGGGCTGTTTTTGGGCTCTGCCCCCCACCCAGCAGCCTTACACAGGGTCCATTGAGGCCGGGACATTCCTCTCGGCCTGTGTCACTCTAGTGGGGGGGGCCTGGCCCCGCCCCCATAGACCCGGAAAGCCTGACTGCCCCAGGAGGCGGCGTTGGACGCTTCCCAGCACATCTGGAGGTCATGACCCCATCTCTGCTGCCAGGGGGCGCGACAGATGTTTCCTCCCAGGCCTGGCCCTGGACTGGGGGCAGTGTGCAAAGGCCGCCCACGGAGAAGGGGAGCCCCCAAGCAGGGGGAGCCCTGTACACAGCCAGCAGCTGGGGCAGTCGCCAGTGCCACCGAGAAGCGTCAGGGGCAGCCCCATCCACTTGCTCCCACACGGTCCGGGTCGGGCAGTCATGCGGAGGACAGGGTGGGGGCCTGGGGCAAGGGACTAGATGTGCCGACTCCGGACTACAGCTGGAGCCGGGAGGGAGGCTGGGAAGGTACTGGCGGCGAACGCTGCGAGGAACCTCTCCCACACACACACCACCCGAGCTTATGCCAGTCCACGTTCTCCGTTGTCCAGCCCAATTGGGGTGCCCTGCTCCCCCGAGCCCGCCAGTACCTCTGGGGCTCCCGCCCCGCAGCCGCCTCCCGCGCTGGTATCCCGCCGCTGGCTCAGTAGCTACCGCTCCCCGCGGCTCCGCCTGGGGGGCGGGCCCACACCAGGGGCGGGGCCACACCGAGGGCGGGGCCACAGCCGGCAGTGAGCTGTCCACTGTCCAGTTCCCGCCAGCAGCCTCCCCCCCACCCCCACCACGCCAGGACTAAGACGCAGAACGAGAGCTGGAGCAGGATACCTAGTGTCTAGCTCCCCCGGACACGCAGCATGTGCTCAGGAACTGAGACTGCTGCTAAGCACTAGCTAAGTGTGTGCAGGCTGACCATGCATGGCCTACACACGCTCATTTATTCTTAAAACACCTTAGAGAGGTGCCATCTTCTTTATGGCTGGAGAAATTGAGCTCAGAGAAAGGTCTTGGCCAACGTCAAGGCTGATAATTGGAGCCAGCCACTGGAACTGGAAGTCTTCAAATGTTAGAGAGGTGAGAAACTGAACAAAACCAATTTCAGATGAAGGCTTGAAAAGGAAATAGGCTTTCGAGGAGCGGGACCCAGGTGTACCTGAACCCCACCTCGGTCTGACCTTGACGGCCATCGTAACCGTCTCATCCTTCCTCCCCTGTCCATACTCGTCCACTCTGGCCTGGCCACCTCCTCTAACCTCCACCCAGACATTCCCAGATAAAAGTAGAAACCATGAACCAAAATCAAAAATAGTGTTATTAATTCTGGTGTCTCTGAAGCACAGAAAAAAAGAGAAAAGAAAAAGAAACCACCCTCCCTATATCTCGGCCCCAGGTCCAGGCCGAGGGGCTGCCCCTGCAGGCAGCGCAGGGCTAGAGGCCAAGTCGGTCCTGGCCTCGGGCTTGAAGCGGGACCAGCCCATGGGTTTGGCTCTTCGGGCCTGGCTGGGAGGCTGCCTGCCTCAGTTTGGAGAGTCCAGGCCCTGGACTAGGGATGAAAGATCAGGGATAAAGGTAAGAGGTCTGGACCACTCAGTTCTGGTGTTCTGGCTGTGGCAGCCAGAGGTCAGGGTTCAAATGTGGAAGCCAAAACCATTCAGCTCTGTGGTCCAGCAGAGAGGGCCGGAGGCCGAGGTCCAAGTTACTGAATCCTGGGCTGGGATCCAGAGAAGAGCGAGCCATTCAGTACTGATGGTCCAGTAAGGGCTGGGCGGCTGGGCTTTCTCGCTCCTCAGCAGGGCCAAGCCAGTCACCTGGGGCCCCCGTGGGTGTGCCACTCTCAGGAGCACTGCTGTCTAGGTAAGGAATGTCCTGGGCTGCTCTGGGGGCTGAGGCATCGGTGCTGATATCGGGACTGAGGCTGAGGTCCAGGGGCGCCTGCGGAAAGGGAAGTAGGTTGGTTGGGAGAGCAGGCCTGAGCTGCCCAGGACCCTCCCCTCCCATAGGACACTTACCTGAGATTTGGGGGTGCCTCCTTTGGGGCTCCCTGAGGCTGGCTCCCCCTCGGATCCCCCCAACCCCTTTCGACCCCCCAGGCTCCACTTCCCACTGGGACCCTCAGAAGAGAGGAGACCAGGGCCAGGGGGCCTTGAGGGCCGGGGACCCTCAGCTGGGGCAGGTGATGCGGGGGGCAGTCCAGGGAGCCGAGGGGGTGGCCACTGTAGCAGAGGAGGGGGACGCCCATCACCAGAGCTGCTAAGGGAAGGCCTCGGGCCCCAGCCAGCGCCTGGTGGGAGGGGTTGGTCGCCAGTGCCTGTGGGAGACAGATAAGAGGGCAGAGGCCTCAGCAGGGCTGTCCCCTTGCCTACTGGTTCAGCTGGGCCTCGCTGGCTCACCTGCTGTGTTCTCAGGTGTGGGGTGTGCCAAGGGGGGGTTATTGCTGAGGGTGGTCAAGCCAGCGCCTCCACCGCAGTCTGAGTCGTCCACGTTCCCGCCACTATTGCAGCCGGCACCGCAGCCCTTATGGAGCCTGGGGTGGGGGAGGCAAGGAGGTGGGTGGAGCGGTCACCTACCATCCCTGAGCCCCAGGGTGCTGTCTCTAAGAGGTTTTACCATCTATTTTACAGGATCTTTTCAGGAAGGCATTATCAACGGCTCTTAAGGCTAAAGGCCACCTTCAGCTGTGGGGTGGAGCCGAGCCGGGTCAGCTCTGGGAGGGGTCAGCTCTCAGGGCTTCATCCTGGCTCCAGCACTTTCTCACTGAGACCTTGGAGGGAGTGGCTTCATCTCTCTATGCCTCAGCTTCCTGCTGCGTGAACCCAGCCTCCTGGGCCGGGGCGGCAGTGAGGGCTCACCTCTCCCAGCTGTGCAGGAGCCAGCGAGCAATGGCGCCCAGGCTGACAGGGCCACCCCACAGCGCCCGCAGCTGGGGGTGGCTGCCGGCCAGCGAGGTGGTGAGGGGCGACACGTAAATGGGGTAGCCGAGCGGCTGGTCGCAGGAGGAATTGATCATGTTGCGGAGCGCCTGCTTGGCATTCTGGATGCTGCCGCGCTCTGGGTTGCGGTTGCGCAGGAACACCAGCTCCTGCTGCTGCCCAGCCCACAAGCCGCGCACGCACTCGCGGTTCACCTGCGGATGGCCACATGCAAGGGTCAGGGCCGGTGCCGGGGCAGGGGCCAGGTCGGGCGGGCGGGCTATCCCCACCTTGATGACGCGGAAGCTGAGGTGGCGCCGGTTGAGCATGATGATCTTGTACTCGTCTGAGGCATCATCCAGGACATGGCGCAGCGCCAGCAGCGAGGGTGTGTTGCTGAGGATGGCGCTGCGCCAGGCGGGGTCACCCTCGTGCGAGATGACCAGCCGCTCCTCGTTGGCTGCGATGGCATCGTACAGGGCAGCTGGCTCCTCGTACTCATCTGGGGATGTGAAGTGGTCCTGCGGGGGGCGGGGCCGGAGGGCTGGGGTCAGGGGCCCCCGGCCCTGGAAGCAGCTTCACCGCCCCCATCTGCCCTCGCTGCCTAGGCACACCTCTCCCCACCTGGTGGAGCTTGAGGGCCATGCGAACCCCAGGTGCCACCACGCGGTGAAGCAGGTCCATGTCAGCAAAGACCCACTCGTCTCGTGGGGAGGTGATGCGAAAGTCCCCCTTGAATAGAGCGTGCAGGCCGTAGAGGAAGGGCTCCAGGCTGGAAGAGGAGAGCACGGGGGTGGGCCAGCCGCGCTGCTGGAGCTTGAGCCCCAGTGCAGTGGTCTGCACCAAGAGCGCCCTTCACGCCGGGCCTGTTTCCCCGTCTTGACAAGGAAGGCAGTCTCTGCCTGGGTCCCTCACAGGGCAGTGAGGGCAGACAAGGTCACAGCTCCGAGGTACCTTGTCCATGAGAGGACCACACTAAAGGAAGAACGGGGGATTCCTGGGGGCTTCTGGCCCCGAACCCTTCGTTAGGGTGGAGGGAGAGCGGTAGGCCCGGCTGGACCTGTGAACACTCACCTGGCAGACATGCTATGTGAGGCTGTCCCCAAGGCCCGGCGGCCCAGCACACACAGGCCAAAACAGAGAGTGACCAGCGGCGAGTTCCAGTCCTGATCCACGGGCTGTGGCACAAGGAACCCATCCCCAGGGCCCAGCTTAGATATTGGGGTTGGGGTTGGAGCAGTGGCCAGGGGCCAGGCCGAGGGAGGCTGAGTGACAGGAAGCCACCCAGGGAGGGGAGGGGAAAGCCCCGGGTAGTGGTGGCCAGACCTGGCTGCGCCGAGAGGCGCAGTACTGGATCCACTCGAGGTGCACCGCGCAGAAGGAAGGCAGCGAGAGGCCAGAGAGGCGCAGGTCATAGTCCTCGTCCACGCTCAGGGAGAAGGTGGGGTCTGAGTCGGCGTAGCCCGGCGCCCGCACAGGCCGCAGGGCCGCCGAGATGCCCTCGTGGCTCAGCCACGCATCCAGCTTCGGAGAGCGGCTCACATAGTAGATGATGCTCTGAGAGGAGAGGGCAGCATCAGGGCTGGCCCAGTGCCTTGGCCCTGGCCGCTGCGGGACCAAGTGTCGGGGTCAAGAGGCTTTTCCTCTACGCTGCGCTGGTGCCTGCCTTCTAGGACTCTCAGCCTATGTCCCATCTCAGCTCCCTGACACCATGCAGGCAAATCTGCCCCTCTCCCCCAGGCCAGGGAGGGGAGCGAAAGTGGACAGGGGGTGCCCCTCCTTACAGAGCATCCTGCCCTGTGACCAGGGCCAGCACGCTGGCCTCGGAAGATGCCTCATTTGTGAGACTGAGGCTCAGATGGATCACAGACCTGCCTAAACTGACACCGCAGAGCTGACAGGTTGAGCTGGGATTGGAATCCCGGGACCTTTACTACCATGACACCACATGATCCAGATCTCAGAAGCCTTGAAACGTCAGACTGAGGTAGTGAGGCGGCCTGCAGGCCGGAGGCCCTGGGCCAAGGGTCTCTCTGGACAGCTGAAGTGTGACCTACCCTCAGGAAAAAAGGCATCCTATGCCCAAGGTCAGGGGCTGCCGGACCCCTTGAGACTGCAGGCTTGTAAAGAGGGGTCTGGGCAGATGGAGAGGTAGCTCTGGAAGGCAGGCAGCAGGCACGGCGAGGACAGAGGGGCAGGGAGGCTGGCAGCCGGCAGCCAGCGAGGTTACTAGGGTTCCATGTGTCGCCCTGGGAGGGGGCTGCCGGGGCTGGCCCTCTGCCTGGGTGCTGGGTGGTGAGTCTGGGGTAGGGGGTGCTGGGGGGACAGGCTGTGCAGCTGGCTGTGGACAGAGGGCACCAGGCAGCAGGGTGTCCAGCAGGGGGGGTCTGGTGGGGCATGGAGAGGCCAGGAGCCTGGGCAAAAGCAACTGTGGTACAAGCCGGGAAAAGCCAACCATCTCAAACAGCTCCCTGAGGACACCTAGAGGCCATGGCTGCACATGGGGCCTCGTAAGTTCCCAGTACATGGCAGCAGGAAGGGAAGAGGCCCCAGTCCTGCCTTGGCTGTGGGTAGGTGGCGGGACAGTTTGGAGAGGGCTGGGCAGCTCCCCCCTTAACAAGAGGAAGGGGGAGCAGAAGCCTAGTGGGGTGAGGAGGGGAAGAACGGCTGTGGGGGTTGCTTTGGGCTCTAGGCAGACCAGCTCCCGATTGACCTTTTGCCCAGACGGCGTCTCCA